GGGCTCTCCGGGGCTGCAAACGCGGATTTGTCCCCCTGGGGGGTTTGGGGGGTCCCCTCCGGCTCCATGGGTCCCCTCCCCGCGGGATTTTCCTCCGATCACAATCCCAGGAACGCTCGGGCTTTGCTCAGGAGCAGCAGCATCCCCAAAATTCAGCCTCAGCAGGGAAAATTCGGGTACCTGAGGAAAACACAGATGTATTTTATATAATATTTTATATCGGGTACCTGAAAAAACCACAGATTTATTTTATATAATTTTTTATATCTATATATAAATTTATATTAATATAAATAAATAATAAAAAATATAAATATAATAAAAATATAAATAAAATATTTATATAAATAAATATTATTATATTTATATAATATAGCTATTTATATTTATTTTATATTTTTTATATATTTATATAAATTTTTATATAATTTAACTGAGGAAAACACAGATATATTTTATATAATTCGTTTAGGTGAGGGTTTTTTCCTCCCCGTTCCTTTATGTTGGCTTTGAAATTGTCGGGAGATTTGGGAGATTTGGGGGTTTAAAAGTCAAGGAAATTGGAAATTTGGCTTTGAAACAGATAAAGGAATTTGAAATTTTGGCTTTTAAACAGATAAAGGAATTTGAAATTTTGGCTTTGAAATGGGCAAAAGATTCAGAGGTTTTGGCTCTGAGCACACCAGAGAATTGGAAAATTTGGCTGCGAAATACTCAAAGGAAATGGAAAAATTGGTTTTTAAAGGGTACTGAGAATTAGAAAATACGGTTTTGAAATGGTCAAGAGATTTGGAAAATAAAGAAAAATTGTCAAATTTCACTTCAAACCCTGGGGCCCCTCCCCAGCTCACCGGGAATTTCTGAGCCCCAAATTCTGCCACAAACGAGGTGTTGGGTCCACTGGAAACGCCTGAAAATTAATTAATATCTATAAAAATACAAATAAATAATAAAGAAATTAATCAAGATATAACATAGTAATAGTTAATAAAATAATATAAATTATAAATAGTCCGGGGTGTGTCCCGGGTGTGTCCCGGGTGTGTCCCGGGTGTGTCCCGGGTGTGTCCTGGGTGTGTCCCGGGTGTGTCCCGGGTGTGTCCCGGGTGTGTCCCAGGCGTGTCCCGGGTGTGTCCCGGGTGTGTCCCGGGTGTGTCCCGGGTGTGTCCCGGGTGTGTCCCGGGTGTGTCCCGGGTGTGTCCCGGGTGTGTCCC